TAGAATTAAAAGGCAAGGGCGACCGCCTCCCAGCAGCCCCGTGAAAGTTAAAAGTGAATTTCTCATTAATGTACTTGAGACCACACCAGGACTGCATGTGGGCGGGCAGCCGGTGAGCCCTGGGGCCGGGCCTGCTCCGCCCTCCAGAAGAGGTATTTAGGGCGTTGCTTTTAGCAGCCAGAGGGGCAGAGAGAAAGCAGAGAGGAAGGATGCTGTCGCTAGGCAACCTGGACCACTATATATAAACCCCAGCAAGTCTCCAGTGATGTGGGGAGGGGACGCCGGCTGTCCTGCGAGTATCATCGGCTGACATACCGGGATGCCCTGGGTCTCCAAGACGAGGCTGGGGACATGCCGCGCAGAGAGGCCTGAGCGGATGGCGTCACAGATCCTGCGCACCAGGTCGGGCCGGAAGGAGTGGCCAGACACCATCTTCAGAAAGAGGATCACCCGCTCCTCACCATCCTGGCTGTACTGGGGAACACACAGGCTGTCCATCACCTCCTCAAAGGCCTCCACTGCAGGGACATAGAAGGTTTGGTCACAGCAGGTCCGACACAGTCAGTGGCTCCCAAGCCCACTGCTGAGAGGGCATGAGGCCAACCACCGAGCCTACCCGGGAAGGGCCTTCAGGACTTGCTCCAAGAGAGCTAGTAACAAGGGGCAGGAAGGACCCAATCACCTCTCTCTGGGCCACGGCGGGGATTACGGACTTCCCTTCAGTTGAGTAAAAGGAAGCAGGTGGTTGTGTCGGGGCCTCCACCAGTGGAAGGAACAGAGGCGGGGTGGGGCCTCTGCAGCCTGACTGACACAGAGCCACCTGTGGATGCCACAGGACACCCCTACAGGCTGTGGGCGGAGCTGGGGGGGAGGGGGGAAGGGGAAGGCCCTGGGGCTACCATGCAGTCAAGCTATAGGCAACCTCTCTGTGCCTGTCAGTCACCTATGAGGGTCCACAAATCCCACCCACCAGAGGGAGGGCTCATGCCCAGGGCCCCGAGAGCCCGGGTATGGAGGGGTGTTCTCAAAGGGGCACGTCATGAACCCCACTCTCCCCTTGAGGACAAGTGAGCCAATAATCTCACGAGGGCTGAGGGTGAGCAGGCCTCCGGGAGTGGCCCCCCCTGGGCAGCGGAGGGCATACCAATGTTGTAGATCTCCGAGCTGCCGAACCGCACTCCGTTGGGATTGAGTGTGCCATCGCTGCAAGGGTCGAGGTCGAGAGCGTGACTATCTAGCAGTGGGTCCCTTGGCTCCTCCCCACCACCCCCCACCTACCTCCTGACCCAGGCCCCTGCCCCCACTGCCAGGCCACATGCTGGGCCACCCACCGGCACCTACCCACTGCCAGCCCCGGCCCTGAAGGGCAAATGACTGCCCTTGGGTACTGGCCGCACCTTTTGCTGAGCCCCCACAAGACCGTCTGCCAGGCCAGCCCCTCCCTGAGGAAGCTGCACACAGCGACATCCCACTGCAGTGAGACAGAACAGGTCTGTGGGTGCTAACAACCCTGCCGGGGACACCACACCACCCCAGAGGATCTCAACCACAGACAGGTGGGGAGGCCCAGGAAGGGAGGCTGCACCTAGGTACAGGAGATTGGGCCTGGAAACCAGGCAGAAGCCAGCTTCACTGGAGTTGGGGCCGCCCAGGCAAGGTCACACGCACGCTACAAGCCACACACTGTGCACACACTGCAGGTGGGGCCAGGAGGGGCCCCGTCCTGTGCTTCCTCCTCACCTCCGGCCCAACATGACGATGCCGCCAGTCTTGGGGTTGATCCTGCAGTAATCCCCATGCGCCCACACACCTGCAGGGGGCAGTGGGGCGGTCACCAAGGGGACACACAGGCAAGAGCATAGTATGGCCTGGGTGCAGGACATGAATGAGGTAGCCCCCACCCCACTTCTGACACTGGACAAACCTGAGACCAGCCTCTGGAGGTGTGGAGAGGCTGCAGAGGGAGGGAGGGAGCAGGTCTTGGAGGAGGGGCTAGGCCAGGTGTGGAAAGGAGGGTGGGGAGCAGGCGGGAGACAGCGGGTCCAGCCACCTGGCCTGAGCTGATCAGCAGCCTGGGGCCAAGAGTGCGGGCAAGCCCAGGAGATGCTGGTCATGGGAACCCAACAACAGGAGGCGAAGTGCCCAAAGGGTCAGAGACAGTCTTTCTGAGAAGCTTCACGGCCTCTTACTCCATCCCACACTGGGGACATTACTGTGCCCCCTCCTTCCCGCCTGGGTCTGTCCCCCGGCTACACACTGGCAGGGCCCAGGACAGCACAAATTTAAGGGTGTCCTGTGGCCACTCATCAGAAAAGGCACAAGGTCAGGAGGTGGCATATGGGCATGACACACATGCTTGTAGGAGCAGATCAAGTGCCCGTGGCAAGTCCTGCCCACCCACGGACCCCTTGGTGCCCTGCTCTCCTGGTGTGGCTCCTATAGAATCACCTAGGGACTGCAGGAAGCAAGCACTCAATGTACAGACCCAGAACGGAGGCAGACTGAACTAGGACTGGCAGCACAGCGGGAGCTCAAGGTGCTGAAGAGCGGGAGGCGGCAGGGACTTGAACTTTAAAGGGTCCCTGAGACGGAACACAGTCCATCACAGAGAGAGGGAGGCATCAGTCCCAGAAGGCAGGCTGGCTGTAGGTCACCATGTAGGACGGCCATGATGACTGGGTAGTGGTGGCAGGCAGAGGGCAAAAGCCCAGCCAGAAGCCTCCTGGCCGCCCACGCCCCGCAGACAGAAACAGGCTCGCCCTGGCTCCATGGCAGGCTCAGGCCAAGGGCTCCCGGCACAGCAAGGGGATGAGAATAAGCTAAACCCAGATGACAGCTTCAAGCTTAGGTGGCCAGGCAGGGATCATCATTCACGATCAGCTGTCCCTGGCAAAATGAGCTCTGAGCAGCTCTGCAAGCGGGGGTGGGGACACGCAGGACGAGAAAGGGAGCCCAGCCCAGGCGGTCCAAGGCTCCACCTACCCGGGAACTTGGAGAAGTAGGCCTTCCTGTACTTGCTGCCGTTCTCGTCGTTCCAGAAGTGTGTCGGCTGGCAGGGCATGGGCTTGGTGCACACCAGCTCCCCACTCATCCCCCAGACGGCCTTTCCTGTTGGAAGGGGGCAGAACATGGGTTAAGCACCCCTAGTGCCTGAGCCTGGAGCGATGGCCTCTGTGGCATCCAGTGACCCACAAGCCATGCCTTGCTCGACACTAGGGACCCACGTGTCTCAGCTGCTTTCCTGAAGGGCTGCCTGCAGGCTAGTGACCAGGAGAGCAGCAGGCAGGCTGAGGCGAGATCCCCTGGGGCCCTTGCCAAGGCTGGGGCATGGGGAGGTGGGGACGAGAGACAGGCGGAGTGGCCACCATCACAGAATCAGCCACCTGCCCCCTCCTGTCTGCATGGGCCCCTGGCATACAGGGAGTTGTAGGGGAGCAGCCATGGGAGGCCAGGACACTGCACAGCAGGTGAAAGGGGGGTGGTCCCTCTCCAACTGGGCACAGCTTTGGAAAAGATGCCAGGGGCTTCCCGAGTCACGACTCCCGCGAGGTCAGAAGTGCTCACCATCCTCGTCCCAGGCCTCCACCGCCATGGCCAGGTTCCGGGCCTGGATCTCCCCTTTATACACAGGGACCGAGGGGTTCTGGCCCATGAAGCAGGAGATGATGTCGGTGCCACCTGCAAGCAGCAGCGAAAGGCAACTCAGCGTGCAGTACGCAGAGCACGTTCTCCCGAGCACACACAAAGCGGAGTGCCCGGGACAAGCACCTACTCTCCCCTTGGGAGCCAGGAGGAAAGGCCTGGAAAGCAGGGCTTCTTTCTGGGGAAGAGGGAAGGTGACTCAAACACTGTCCAGTGTCCTTGATAGTGTTTCACCCCATCTCCCAGCGGGAGGGAGACCAGAGGATGCTCCCGGCCAAGCTCAACTTCAGGGTTCAGGCTCTCGGGGTTCAGGCTTGTTGACAGTGTGACCGTCACAACAGCATGATCTTGGAAGGTATTTTTTTCTTGGATTGTGCTCTGTGTATGTTACCTGGCCTCAACTCTACAGGACCCCCCACTTCTTCCCTCGGCAAGGACCAGGGAGTTTGCTTCCACCTCAAGTCACAGCCTGGGGAGAGCTGGAGAAGCATGTTCATCTCCGAGTTCCTCCATAGCATGACGAGAGGAGATCAGGCCACAAGATAAGACGCAGCTTCGTGCTGCTCAGAGGCAGAGCCCAGCAAAAGGGCAGGGGGCAGGGGGACAGCAGAGTGTGGCAGAAATGCTGACAGAGACCGCACACTAGTGTGGACAGACACATGCCATCAGTCTGCTTCTTTCCCCTTCATAAGGGACCTTACAGCATGCCTGAGGAGTCCGAGTCACCCTCCTCTGCTGCTCTCGGGGTGTTGTTGCTGCTGCTAGGTGTGTACTGTCACGTCAGTTCCCACTCACACTCCCCACGGACCACAGAGAGCAACGGTCGGGTCAACCCTCTCTGCGTGAGCCCACAGCTGCAGTGCTGTGTCAATACAGCGCGCTGAGCACCTCCTCTTACCCGCATCCTCGCCTTGCCCAACACGAGGGCCTCCTCTAGGACCGACTAAGTGCCTGAGACACAAAGTCGACTGCCGTCCTTGCTTCTACAGAGTGCTCTGACAGACCCGGTCATGTTTCTAGAAGTCCATGATTAACCTCCATTCTTCACCAAAGGCACCGGTTCCACTTTGGTCTTTCTGATTTACAGTCGGGTTTTCACATGGATATGGGGTGATTGAAAATACCCTGGCGTGGGTCCATCCCTTTAAGGACTCTGCCTTTAAGACTAAAAAGGTCTTTTGCAGCTTATTTGTCCATGGATATTGACTGTGCATCCAAGGAAAGTTAAATCCATGGCTACTTCTACCTTTTGTCCATTAATGATGATGATGTTTAATGGTCTAGTGGTGAAAATGGCGTTCTCTTTATGTTGAGGTGTCATCCATAATGAAGGCCGTAGTCTTTGGTCTTCAGCAGCAAGTGGTTCCAGTCCTCTGGTGTCCACAAGCAAGGCTCTGCCATGCAATCCAGTGGACAGCAGGTATGCACACATGTTCTATGCATGCCCTGGAGCTTGGCACCGGGCTCGGCGGGGGCCAGGGGGTCCCTGACATCACTGTCCTTGGCCATACCCACACCACTCCAGACCCTCGTATGAGATACATTCAAGTAAGGGAACATGGCTGCCAGTGGGGGTAGCCGGCTCAAGGGGCAAGCCTGGCTTCAGCAGACCCTCTGCTCCACGCACGCAGCCAGAGCAGGGCGTACCTGAGATGGAGCCCAAGAGCACATTGCTCTTGATGCACCTGTAGACGTACTCATAGCTCTGGGCTTTCAGCGGGGAGCCTGTAGACAGGATGGTGTGCAGTGTCTGCAGGCTGTGTGTTTCCACTGAAAGGCAAAATCACCAAAAAGTTAAAACTCAGTCCGGGGCCTTAAGCCCCACTGGCACGCTGGCAAGATCTAATACAATGGCTTAATCCCCTTGGCTTGCGATTCAAGCGACAGAAGCCTAAGAAGTGTATTTACCTGGTTTCAGGTTTTTCTCTTCAAGCACAGAGAGCCACTTGGCACCGGTCCCCAGGATAGTGATGCTAAGAACCACAAAGGTGCCAACAGGAAGGAAAAAAACAGACACCGTTCAGGGCTCTTGTGGGCGACACACGCCAGAGCTTCCCACAGTTAGTGGTTTACTGTTGGCACGGTTGCACACACCAAGACACCTTGCTCCCCGGGGCCCATTCCCTCCACTCCTCCACATAGACTTGTGCCACTCTGCCTTTGGGAAGCAGAGGAAGCAGGGCTGAGGACCTGGCCCTCCTGGATACTTGGTACCAAGAGCACTCGCCCGAGCCCACACTCACTATGTCCCACCTGCAGGGCAGTTTATCTCCAGTTGCAAACCAACCCAGGTCCAGCAAGGCAACTTGCACTCATAAGCTGTAAACCCTTTGGGGAGCCGACAGCCTCCTCTCTCTTCTGAGGAGGAGCCACTGGAGGCTATGGAAAACCCCTCACAGGCCCACCTTCCAGTGAAGGAGGTGCTTCATTAACACAGCTTCTCAGTCCAACCCCTTCCACGAAATATGCTCACATTCCATGAAGCTTAGAAAACAGAATTTAGAATTGAGAGCTGGGTGGTGCTCCTGCGTTTGTGCGCAGAGAACACTGTGCTAACCACCTCGCAGTGTACTCAGGGGCTGTAATGACCCCACCCGCCCTGCAACACACACAAACGCGCACACCCACACACACAATAGGGCTCTCTCCTGGAGCCTGGCTTAATGGAGTGAAGAGGAAGGAAGACCTCCACCATTTCAGTTCCCGGGGCTTTAGTAACCTCTCTCTGGAAACAATCTCAGTAGGAAGCAACCTCCCTTCTAATCTCATGAACCAAAGCTAGGACTCAACTACGTCACAGGCCAGGCATCATTATATTTCAAATATTCAGGGCTGTGCTGAAAGCCATTCCCGACTCTCCAGGGGCCTGCCTGCAGGCAGAGTGCACCAGAGGCCAAATGCCTCCACCCGACTCGGGGCTCTGCACATGGTGGTTAGGCCCAGAGGCCCCGTGGGCTGAGCCTTCACTACTGGGGATTCCACAGGCCCGCTGGGAAACACACTTTCAGGCAGTGCTCCTGGACTTCTCTGTGTGGGTCAGTCTGTATCAGGGCCTGCCTCTGGCCCCCACCACCCTCACCCTCCCTGAGGTGGGTTATCTGTCATGGAACAGAGAGAGTCCCAGAGGCCACCCCATGATCTTGCTGGATGATTAAGGACCTGTGCTGGCATGACCTACCCTATCCTGTCCACCAGGTCCCAGAGCACGTTAGCCGTCGGAACCAGCGGGGAGCCGTCGTACAAGACCAGGGCCGCACCTGTGGCGAGGGCCGACACTACCCAGTTCCACATCATCCAGCCGACCTGAGGAAGCAGAGGACCAAGGGGTAAACTCTCCCGTTCTCCCAGACAAGGGCCTAAAACAAAGTCCACACAGGAAACAACAAGGCCACCCCTAGGGGCTGGCCCGCAGACACCCCCCCCACGTGTGGGCCAAGATGTGCTCAAGCCCTTTCATCACGCCCTCGCTGGGGGTGCTGCTCATGGTGCAGACACCAATGGGCACTGTGCGCTGCACAGAACACTCGGGACCGAGCTGCTTGAGCCCAGCTGACAGCGCTTCACAGGCAGCCACTGCCGAGAATAAGGGCTGAGGCAGAGCCACCTCTATGCCACTGCTGGGAGAGGGGGGAAGGAGCATAGCAGGTGTGGGCTGGGGAAACAGGGTGGGCACAACAGGAAACCCTCCTCAGCCCGTAGACTTGCAAAAGCATTGGCCAGCACTGGGCAGGCTTGCCCAGGGCCTGGAGACACCAGCCTCTCTCCCTGCATCCTCTCTGAGCTACTGGAGATACTTGTCACTCAAGGTCAGGAGAGCTCTTGAGTTCTCCTTGTTTCAATCCAAAAATGTAGGTAGGCACAGACCCACCCACAGCGCCACTTCCCTTCTCCCTGGGGTAAATCTGTGGGTGGTTCTGGCCCTGAACTCACGCCGACTTTGGTGCTGGGGCCTCACCGTGGTGTAGTACATGATGATGTCGCTGCTGTCCATGTTGCCGTGCAGGCTGTGTTCCTTCAGGTGCTGTATCAGGGTGCCCTGTGGGGTGGGGCCACGCATAAGGTGTGCTGTCCATCTTGACAGAAACACATTGCCACGCTTGTCTCCCACAGTGTGGCTGGTGCATTCGAATCACCACCCTCATGGTTAGCAGCCCAGCAGTAACCCATTGTGCCAGGGGGCTCCAGGAACCTATGAGACAGTTCCACTATCACTCGGCATCACCAGATGTCAAAAGGGACAAGACAGCACTCAGCAACAATAGCCCCGGGAAGATGGAATCCAAGCTTCCTGAAGCTTTCACACTCTAACTACACCAGCACAACGACTTTTACGACCCAACTATGTTATCCTGAATACAACATTACGTTCCTCTTTGTAAAAATAAAAGTGTGATAGTCATTACGTAAAAATATATGTAAAAGAGCTGAGCATTTTCAGAAACTTTGATGATTTGGGCAAGGAGCTGGCAGAAGGAACAGGCATTTTAGGAAACCCCAAAACATTAAACTGGACCGGGCATCTTCCTGCCAAGGGCCAGGTTGTCTCTGCCCTCTGTGTCTGCGCAGCCTGTGCTATGGCGTTCCCTTCCCACAGGAATGTGCTTCCTCTGCTACGCTAGCAGGAGGGAAACTGGGAAACCAAACATGCAGGGCTGCAAGGCCTGTGGTCATGAGAACCGAGCCACGGGTGAGCAGGCCCTCAAGGACCATGGTTCCTGCAGGGCAGCCCAGTCGTTAGGAAGTAACCTAAGTCAGAAAGAAGCTTCTCACCAAAGGACCTCCCTGCCACCAGAAAGCACAGCTAGGAGCCGAGCACATCCTTCAGCCCCAGGGCCCCTGTGCTGAGAACCTCCTAAACCCAGGGGAAGACTGGCGCCAAGACACATGGGGATCTCCAAGGACCACTGGGCCCACAGGTACTAAAAGGAGACAAAGATCTTCCTCCAGAGCCAACCTCCAGCCTTGTGAACTGAGAAGAGAAATGTGTTTGTAGAGTCAAACAGAGGAAAAAGCAGCTTGTCACCAAGTCCAGGGGCAGAGCAGCATCAGATGAGGTGAGAGGGAAGAGAAAGGTTAAGAGAGTCAGAGTGACCCGGGAATCTAACTTCAGAAGCATGGCCTGACGGAATCACAGTAGCGCTGAGCTGGCATCGTGGGCCTCCTAAGCAAGGACTGAGGAGGACACAGGTCTGTCGGCACCACCTGGCGCTTGTCATGAGGAAGCTCCACACAGACCCAAGTGCCTGCCCTGGAGGCACTGGGCCCAGGGCTTCTGCACTGCCAATGCCATAGCAGGCAGAGAGAGGCTGGGGGTATCCCAGTGCGAGACTGTGGACACGTGACAATTGAGGGCACTGATGCCTGAATGCCATGAAGGGCACAACTGGGACACTGGCCAGAGCTGTCTGTCTGTGAGCTGGTCCCCAAGCTGGAGGGTCCTACTATGTTGAGGAAAGAGAGCGTGCTTGTGGTGGGAGCCACCTGCTAAAGCTCATGTCAGCAACTCACTCCCAAATGGCTCTGCCAAAGGGAGCAGCCCAAGAAGGGGCAGTGTCAACATGGAGAGAATGTGACGCAAAAGCGGCAGAGGGTTGGCAAGGGGCCGATCTAGCCAGGGGAGGCATGCGGCCTTCCTGTTACTCTTGCCCCTCTTCTCTAGGCCCATCTGTGTGCAGTGCAAACAGGAAACGAACGGTTAGGAGCACGCCATTCGGTCAGGGGTTCCGGCAGTTCCATTTGAGGACAGCAGCAGGAGAGCGGCCAGGCTGGCCGAGCACTGGATGATGGGCCCCAAGGCTGTCTCTGGTTCACCACAGCCCCAGGACGCCATCCTTTCACAAGGCACACACACGCACCCATATCCCCGAGAAAACGAAACTACCCAAGGTTCTGGGAATTGAACCACAGGGGTACTGAGACCTTCTCAGTTGTCCCTCACTGTCCTGCCCACAATGTGGACGTTCCTGCTGCTGACCATACTGCACAACCCCACACTGCACGAACTCTGGGAACAGGGCCAACACCCACCACACAGCGACTCTTCCTGGCCCCAAGTTAGAGATCCTGGTTCGGGCCCGCCATGTTATGGGGGCTGCACACTGAACCCCCAGGGTGGTGATATCCCGGAACAGGAGCAGGGGCGGAGAAGCCGACGTGCCCTGGCTGAGACCTACCCCAGCCGAGTGCACCATGCACTTGGGCGAGCCAGTCGTGCCAGACGAGAACATGATGAAGAGCGGGTGGCTGAAGGGCAGCTGTTCAAACTCCAGCTGCGGCGGCTGCTCACCTTTCCCGGTGCCGAGAAAGTCATCCAGGAACACACTGCGGGCAGAAACAGGGGACACGGGCCTGAGCACTCGTCCCTCCCAAGGCGGGACACCCTGTTAGGGGCTGTACCGTGTCAGAGACGAGGAAGTCTCAAGTCCTCGACCGACCGCCCTTCCAGCCGTGCCCTTGGGATCAACGTGAGAGGGGTTTTACTGAGTGAAGTCTGAGAACAAGAGCAGAAGCCGGCACTCTGAAAGGGACCCCAGTGGGAGGTAGAGTGGGAGAAAACTGCAGAGCCGAACTCAACATCACCCAAAATAGACCAGAATTCCTGGGCGGACAAGGGCTGGTGGAAGCCCAGGGATTAACGCCCTCGGGAGCCCTTTAATCCTCTAAACACCACCAAGACTCAACTTTCAGTCAAACGACAGACAGGCCTTCAAGGTGAACAATCACCAGGGAATGCGCACGCGGCCCACAGAACACCACCCACCCAAGACCAACAGGCAGCGTTTGCCAAGGAGAGTGCACAAAGCAGGAGAGAAGGGCAAATGGGAACAGGAAGGGAGGGAGACAGGGGAGGAAGTGGGAAGAGTGTGGTTACATCCCCGGGAAGCAGTCAATGTCATGAAACCAAACGTATACAAGTTGTGGAACAGGAAACTAATTCACTCTATAGGCAATGCCTCCCACCACAATAAAAAGTTAAAACTACAGCAAAACTGCCAGAGGCACACTGGGAAGACAGCTGCCAGGGAGCAAGGCTGCCTGCAGCTTGTGGAAGCTGAAATGGACCTCCCTGAGCCAGCCGGAATCAGGGGACCAGCCAAGTGTTTCCCAAAGTGGGCAATATCACCTCCTCGGGAGGGCTGGAACAATCCAGAAGGGCTGCAAAAGCAGAAGCCTACACTTTATTCTGATTGGGAGCTATAACACAATAATTTTTTACATTGCTGGGATGGGGCTGGGGGCCGGGGGGCGGTTGACGCGGAGTAGTTTTGTTTCTGAAAGGAGGCAATAGGACAGGAAAGTTTGGGATGCTATGATTCCACAGTGAAGTGTGAGCCAAGAGTTCTGCTCCATAGACAGCACCCGATGTGCTGTTTGTCCCACAGCCCTGTACGTTTCCTGGACTGTAACTCTTTGTGGGAGTAGACAGTCTGATCTTTCCCCCAGGCCAGTATCACAGGTCATTACTGACTGACTCAATCCTGGGGTTGATAACAGCAGGACGCGAGAACCTACAAAGTCCCAACCCTAAACTCACATAAGCAGTCTCCTGGCCTTACCCCCCACACCACTAGAAAGCTTCCTTGTGGTGGGAACACCCTGAAAAGAGGCACCGCAGCCAGATTTGTTTTTTGAGCCAGTACCCAGACCGGAGACACCCAAAGCTTTCTTGGGGGCATGCTTTCTATCGTGAGAAAAGAATGACTGGCTTGTGACAAATGGGATGTTCTTTCTTTCTTGTTGATGTTAACAGCTGTCCAGTCAGTCCATCTTAAGCAACGCCATGTAGCGCTGAACAAACACCATGGGGTCCTGTACCACCCCAAGGTTCGGTGGGGATCAGGCCTTTGTGATCCACCAGGTTCTCACTGGCTGATTTTCAGCAGACCACCAGGCCTCTCTTCCTAGCCTGTCTTATTCTGGACGCTCCACCGGGACTCGTTCATTCTAACACGGCAACACGGCAGCCGGCCCTCACAGGCAGGGTGGAAGTTGGGCCTGAAGTGCCGTGGCTGAGAATCACTCGATGCGGGGTCTCTACTACTGAACCACCATGGCCCCCTTTGTTCTAACAAGACCTTGTCATGGAGTTGGTGCTGATTCATGTCCATCAGCTAAGCTCGGCTTGGGCAATTTGTGAAGAAGGATCAGTACTGAGAAAGAAAAATGCACACATCCCAGAGGGAGGCTGTGACAGGGGACCGGCCACGTGGCGGACTTGCACGCACAATGGCGCGCAGTGGTTTAAAAAGGGCACCTTATTCACCTCTGAGCAGCAAACCGCAATGACCTGCTCAGCAGTCGACTCCTTGTGGAGCCTGGCAGCCCCAGGTTGCTGCCCTCACCTCCACCCAGCCCCGTGAAGGGCCAACCTCACTGGGTGCTTCCAGAGAAAACCTTAACTCTCAGAGGGCTGGTCAGTCACAGTGTAAAACGATCACTTTTGCTGCTCCCCCAAAAATGGGACGGCAGAGGGTCCGGCCTCCTTTCCTCAGCTCATGGCCGCAGGAATTTCTGCTAGTGGTACGTCCAGCTGCCAAGGGGGCAGCTCCTCTTCTTGAACTTCATCTCACTGCGCTTTGCAGACACTGCATTTTCTACACACTGCAGGTCTGCAGCCGCCCTGTGCCGAGCAGGCCCATCAGTGCAGGTACTCACTTCGTGCCAACGCTTCAAGCTCTTTCAGCGGTTGCACGCTCCACAGATGACAGTCTAGGACATCAGTTCCCAAACTTCTGGGCCTAACACCCCCTTTCCTTAAAAAAACATTACTCAATGCTCCCTGGCAACTCAAAGCTTTCGGACTGTGGCTCATCATCCAGGACAAAGTGTAGGGCTGCTCCGACAGCCCTGGGTCGTTCCAGCACTGCCCCCCCAGGGGGCAGTCTCACCCACTCTGAGAGACACTGGCCTAGTGGCTGAGCACAAGGAAATCCACGCCTTGGTTTCCGGCACTCTCCACTGTTTTGCTGTGGTCTGGAACAGAATCTGCAGTGTCCGAGGTCCGCCTGCATTCGTATGCACACATTACACACTACATGTACGTGTGCATATGTACAGACACACAGGCCCCAATGCACAAGCCAGTGGCCAATACCAGAAGCAGAGTACAGGCCCCACCATGCCCACTGCCGGGGAGAGTGAGGGCTACCTGCCTGCCTTGCTGACACTGAGAACCTCTATGGCGTCGGAGGCGTAACTGGGGACCTCAGGAGTCTCGTCCACAGACCGGGATTCTAAGGAACCCCCGCTGCTCCTCAAGCTGGAGTCAGAGGTTTGCATGGGGGTTGCGCCCCAGACAGCAGCAGGGCCGGCCTACCAGTTTGGGATCTTGGAGATGTCGATCCTCTCCCTGGAGGAGATGTACGGAATCAGCACCACCTTTTCCAAGTCCGGCAGACCTGCGCCGAGAGCAGAGAGACGGGTTACAGGGTACAAGGCCTGGAGCCTCAGATTCTTTATGAAAATGTCACACAGCCTAAATCCGAGAACCTGAACAGCTGCCACGGAGCCCGCTCCAACACTGGTGCCCCAGGCCTCACAGCGGGCTGTGTCCCACGGGGCTCCAGGCAGACTGTCTGGAAGCGGATCCCAGGCCTTTCTCTGGGGAGTCTGGCACCTCCAGTCGGTTAACCATTGCCACCACTCAGGGACTCGACTCAAGGGATGCAGGGTTCTTATGGTGCTTGTGGCTAACGAGTGTCCTCTGTACCCCAGGAAGGCCCCCGACCTCCACAGCCCCACCTCCCCCAGTTAAGGCCCTGTCCTCACAGCCTCCATGTCCCCTTAGAAGGCCCCAAACTGCACAGCCTGTATCCCCCCGAAAAGGCCCGACTTCACAGGCCCCTTGTCCCCCAGATAAGTGGTCCCTGACCTGGCAGCCCTGTGTTCCCTGAGAGGGGGGCCCGACCTCACAGTCCCGTGTCCCCAGGGAGGCCCCACACCTTTAACGACCTTCTGCAGCTTGTCCAAGTGGTTGTGCTCCTTGCCGTTGTACACGACGGCCTCCACGGAGAAGATGAGCTTGGGCTGGACCTGCGAGAAACGGTCCAGCACGCCCTGGAAGCCAAGGGCAGACAGTGCTGCAGGTGGGCAGAGGGCACCGGCCTTCTGCTGCCCACAGGTCTGCTTCACATCAGGGGAGAGGGCACGAGCCGCATTCTGCTCACACCCTGCACCACCCAGGGAAACCAATCAAAACAGCGGGGTGCCCTGGTCCCCAGTGATGAAGCACTCAGCTGCACACCCACAGGCCAGCTGAGGGAACCCCCAAGTCACTCAGAGGGGTATAGTTAGGGTGTCTGCACCTCCCAAGATTACAGCTGCCTCTGAAACGCCCGGGAGCTGTTCTACTCTGTCTGTGGGGTCGATAGGAGCTGGGAAAGACTTGAAGGCAGTGGTGAGGTTGCTTTGGGGTGGAAATGGGCTGGTACAGTCAGGTGGAGAAGCGCCGTTTGAGCATATCTCTAAGGCAACGACACTGTCTGTCCAGTGAGGCTGGGCACCCAAATGTAGCCCCCGGATGAGCTGTCCCAGCCCCCACCCAGGCCCAGCAAAGCAGGCGCTTGGCCTTTCACAAGCCAACTGGTAACCCTGCTGCAGCTCATGTGTGGGGGACCTACTGGGCTGAAGATGCAGGGTCTGAGGTCTTGGCTCCAAGGGTGTCATTTTCCAAACCAGAAACGGAGCATGCAGAGCAGATTCCAAGGGTGGAGGCTAGGAGATGATCTCTCTCATCTCCTGTGGGCCCAGCCCCAGGCCTGACATCTCAGAAGATGTCACCGGCTCAGTGGTGGGCAGGAAAACCAGAGGGTGACAAACACCCACTCTGGGCGGTGTGGGGATAGGAGAGGGAGGAGCCCAGAGCCCACCCCCAGCCTGCTGCCGCACCCAGGCAGCAGTGCCCACACACTGGCAAACAAGCTGTCCACTGGCTGCCTCACTTAGTAAGTGTCCATGGCCAACCACGGATATGCCAACCTGTCCCCACAGGACAGAGTGGGATCAGAGTACCAGAACAAAGAGGAAGAGGAGCACTTCCAAGACAGATGGTCAGAGTGAGGCGTCTTAGAAAGATGTGCAGCCCTGCCCCCTGGGACTGGCAGACGTGGGCATGTTCCACACCATGGAGATGCACTTCAGAGCCCAGTGGGAGCTGAGGCACGCTACCATCTAGAGCATGCTTGTACCCGAGCAGCTGTCCTAGCACTGCCATTCCAGAAAGGCACGGACGGCCCGCAGAGCCAGAACCACAACCACACGGAAGCCACAACGCAAGTCTACCAGAATGACTTCTGTGGTGGTGGCAGGACAGGACGATGACACCGAGCACCCAGTAAGTCTAGGTGGCAGCAGTACACTCTCAGGTGCCAAGCATGTGGTGAGTGACTCCCTACACCAATCCCCACCACAGCCTCAGGTCTCTCACTTCCCGGCTGTGGGTCCCTGGGCCTGGGATGTGTCTAGGAGCCACTGCCTGGGAAGTCTTCAGCCCAATCAGGGGCTGAATTCTAGCATGAGTGGCCAGGATGACACCTCCTGGGGACTCACTGCAGAGGCCCGACACCCAGACCCTCAGGGCAAAGCCGGAGCCCTCACTTACGTTCACCCCGAAGTCTGGGGACGTGGAGCTCCAGATGGCGCCAATGCTGGAGGCCGCCAGCATGGCCTGCACGGCGTGTGCACTGTTGGGTAAGTAGCCTGCAGGGGGCACAGGAGAGCCTTCAGGTCAGGGCAAGGCAGAGGCCTGGCTCCTGAGGTCACCTGGAGAGGCAGGCAGTCGGGAATGGGGCGAGCCCGGCCCTGTACACCCAAGCTCTTGCCTTCATACCCCCCACTCCCAACCAGTGGACTCACCACTCACCACTCTCACCCCCAGGCCCCACTCAAAGCGACTCGAAGGCCCGGCCTCTCTTCCCTCCACTCTCAGCCTCCTCTCCGTTCCTCCTGCCCCAGAGCCTGTGCACAAGGTGAATGCACTGCTCAGATGCTTCCACACTCCGCCTTTCCTCCTCCATCAGCTCTCAGCTCCGACAAGCCCTCCTGAGAAAGGTCATCTCCAAGGCCAGCCTGCCCTCCACCACCCAAACTCAAGCCCACCTCAGAGCACACACTCTCTCCGTCACAGAGCTCATCACACTGCAAGAGAGAAGGAGCCAGGCAGTGTCAGCTTGGCGTCTCAGGTCAGGGCAAAGACTCTGACTTCCATCAATCAAACAGATTGCCTAAAAGATCAGAGGGCAAGGCCTGACAAGAGGATCAGGGGCAGAGACCAGGACTGATGCCTCCCCTGAGCAGTAGTGTGGCACGCAAGTGGTGGCAGAGGCCCTGCTCAGCTCCGACCTTCACCTTCAGCCTCTCCTCTGACCTGTCTAGCTCAACCTCCATAACTGCAGCTTTGTGTCCTTGGAGCTCACACTGGGCCAGGAGCACCCCGAGGGGTAGGTGGTGTGTGCTCTGCCCAGCGCCTGGCATATGGCAGATGTGAGGATGTTTGCTGAGCTGGCTGTGAGCGTAAACAATAGACTCTCGGTAGGGCCATTACCCAAGGGCAGGGCAGAACTCCCTGCTCCAGGAGGCTGAGGTATGAAGCTGACTTCTTGTGGCAGAGATATGGCCGGAAAGCAAGCACTTCTGCAGCAGCCAAGACAGTGACCTTGGGGACCACTTCCCAGACAACCGTGAGGCCCTGAACAGCAGCTTTTGCAGTCCTGAGAGCACTCAGCCCTCCTCTTGAATCACCCCCTATGTCCTTGTGGGGGAAGCACACAGTCTTAGTCCTAATAACTGGTCGGGGCATGCTGAGACAAACCAAGGGGGTTGTTGTTATGGTGGTTGTTAGGTACAATGGAGCCAGTTCTAACCCACAGTGACCCTGCACACAAAAGAACACAACCCGGCCCATCCTCACAATGGTGCCCCTGCTTGAGCCCGCTGTGGCAGCCATGGTGTCAACCCAGCTCCTTCAGGGCCTTCCTCTTTGTCACTGCCTCTCTACTTTACCAACATGATGTCCTTCTCCAGGGACTGGTCTCTCCTGACATGTCCAAAGTACCTGAGATGAAGTCTCGCCATCCTTGCCCCTAAGGAGCACGCTCGCTGTGCTTCTTCCAAGACAGCTGTTTGTCCACTTAACAGCCCACGGCGCTTTCCAACTTCTTTGTCGGCACCACGTTCCATTGCTATTGTGGCCTTTGAGGCAAGTAAAATACCATAGGGCTTGGGTCAATCGCACCGTAGTCCTTGAGTAAGTTAGTTTATCGTGCCCACCTGGCCGATAAACACAGGTGGGGTTAATTGAAGGGCGGAGAGATAAATGGCTCAGTGAGCCTCGCCTTTCGAGTTCTCAGGTCTCTTGCTTTCTGATGGGCTCACTTCCTGCAAGATATCCCCGAGGAGAAGCCACATGGACCTACCCCAATGCAGCCCTGGGTGCTGGAGCAGCCGTGTGGAGACCCCTGTCAGTGCTGAGATGCTTACACGCTCACTGACTCGGCTTTCCTCCTGCAGTTGGCATAATTGTGTGTTTTGTGAGATGGAGGAGGACTTTGTGGACTGGTGTCGGAAACATGGGTAAATGTTGGACTTCTGGGTTTGAGGAGCACTGGGTTGGGATGTTTTCTTGATGTGCACTTACCCTTTATATGAAACTCTCTTATACATACGTTTCCGTGGATTTTTTTCGCTAATGTACCCAGACTAACAGTCCTCAAAATAACATCCTCGCTTTTCAATCCTCTGAAGAGGTTGCCTGCAGATTTACCTTACGCAACTCATCTTCTGATCTGACTACTGCTTCCATGAGCATTGATTGTGGATACAAGCAAGTCAAGATCCTTGACAACTTCAACCTTTTCTCCATTTATCATGATGATACCTATTGGTCCAGTTGTTAGGATTTTAGTTTTCTTTATATTGAGCTTGTATTAGGCTGGGCTGACTAGAGAAACAAACCCAGGGACACTCATACATGTGTGAGAGAGAGCTTTATATCAAGAAGTAATTATATACCAAACAAACATCTCAGCCCAGTCCAGATCAAGTCCCTAAGTCAGTTCTACTTCATAAGTCCAACCTACTCCACAAGTCACTCTTTAGACTCACCCAGCCACACTCCATGATGCAGCATGCAGAAGGGCACAGGCCAGTGAGTGCAAAGTCTTATCGATCCAATGGTGGTGGACGCACATCCAGGGCTCTGGCTGCCAATCAGTGTGGCTCAAAGTGGCTCCTCAACAGGCAGGTGAAGCAGAGAGTGGTCTGCCTCCTGGGAGCCATTTATCACGGGCTTCCCTCCCATCAAGCTGAGACGTGAGTGACAAGCTAAACTCTGCCCACATGTTCTTAGGAGAACAATGTTGGCACTAAAACCTATCACACAGCAGCACTCTGTGTTGATGGCCGCAGTCATGATCTTCAGCAGCAAGCGCTTCAAGTCCTCCTCACTTTCGCACACCAGACTGTGCCATCTGAACATCGCAGACTGCTAATGAGCCTTCTTCCGATCTTGATGCCGCACTCTTCTTCATATATGCCAGCTTCTCTGGCGATTGGATCAGCATACGGATCGACTGAGTACAGTGACAGGATACAACCCTGGCGCACACCTCTCCTGATCTTAAACCATGCAGTACATGGTTTAAGGAGTGTCGATCATCAAATACCACGGTCTTGTCAATCACCTCCTGTTGTTCTGTTAGCACAAGTTCCTCATGAGCACAATGAAGTGTTCTGGAATTCCCGTTCTCCATGTTACCTGTAGTTTGTTATGACCCACACAGCCGAATGCCTCTGCATAGGCAATAAACCACAAGGAAACATCTTTCTGGAATTCTCCGCTTTCATCAAGATTCCTCAGACATCAGCAATGATCTCCCTTGTCCATGCCCTCTTTTGAATCTAACCTGAACTTCGGACAGCTCTCTGTCAATGTACTGCTACAACCGTTGTTGGATGATCTTCAGCAAAACTTTATTTACATGTGCGATCGGTGATATTGTTCTCTAGTTTGAGCATTCTGCTGAGTCACGTTTCTTTGGAAGGGGTACAGATATGGACCTTTTCCATCAGTTGGTCAAGTAGCTGTCTTCCAAATTTCCTGGCACAGATGAGTGCTTCCAGCGCTTCATCCACTTGTTCAAACACTTCAATTGGCGTTCCATCAACTCCTGGAGCCTGTGTGTGTGTGTGTGTGTGTGTGTGTGTGTGTGTGTGTGTGTGTGTGTGTGTGTGTGTGTGTGTGTGTGTGTGTGTGGTTAATGCCTCTTCCTCCAAAGTAGGGAGTGAAGTCCGTCTCTGTTGTCTGTTCTTAATCTGGAAGCTCTGCTAAAATCTGCTCACTCTGGGGGACTCTGCTGGCATTTGGGGTAACTGGCATGGCTTCCAGCATCACAGCAACACACAGCCACCCCAGTGCATCAAAATGACACGACAAGTGATGGACCAAGCAAGTCGGAGCCTGATTTGAAGGAGTGTCGATCCTCAAATACCCAAGTCACGGTCTTGTCAATCACCTCCTGTGCAAGTAGAAGCTGGACAATAGGGGAAACCAAGGAAGAATCGATGCCTTTGATTTATGGTATTGGTGAGGAATATTAAATACACTGTGTGCTAACAACAGAACAAACAGATCAGTACTGGAAGAGAGGCAGCCTTAGGAAGATGGCAGGACCTCATCTCACGTACTTTGGACATGTGATCGGGAGTTCGGTGTCTGGAGAAGGACGTGTTTGGTAAAGTAGATGGGGCAGCGTTAAAGAAGAAACCCATCTCCGTGAGATGGCTGACACGGGGGCTGGGGCTGCGCAGCAATGATTGCGAGGATGGCGCAGGCGCATGCGGGCCTCATTGTACCCGAGTCACTGCGCTGGAGCAGACACCAAGGCTCAAGTCGAAACAGAATGTTTTGAGAATGATGATGGCAACAAACGTATAAATGTGCTTGACACAATGGATGGACGAATGGATTGTGTTAAGAGCTGTACAAGTCCCCAATAAAATGACTGAAAATAAAATCTGTAAGAGCCCCCAATAAAATGATTAGTGAAAAAAAGTTTGTCTGCCTCAAAAGATTTTCAAAAATTTAATTGGTCGTAGTTAGAAACTGGTGCGGAACATTTTGTATTACTTTTTGAGACCCTAAAAGAGTAGATTAAACTGGACCACGAGAAACCCGTGAGAACTGAGGTCTGTGCTGTGAAAACGTCGCTCTGCTCTTCGGTCATTTCTCTAGAGCAGCTACATGCCAGGAGCTGCTCACAGACTGCGGCACGGCAGTGGACAGAAGCAGAAGCCTCTCGTCGTGTCATTTCAGGGGAGAGGGAGCACGAAAACAAATCATGAAAAATAAAGCAAGGGAGAGGGACTGAGTCAGGGGGGCTTCCCATAGGGTAGGAGGAAGGGAATGTCTGAGCAGAGGCCAGGTTGGACCAACCTCGTGACACGTGCAGGAAGGGCATCCCAGGAGCGCCCACAGCAACAGGGGACTTGGTAGGTTCCTCCCAAAGAATCCTTTCAACTGGATTTCTGTCCAGCCAGCAAACATGTGCTGAACCCGAGTCCCGCGGTCAGTTCTGTTCTGAGAGAGCCTCAGACAGGCCCTGCCTTGCCCAGATCTAGACGTATGTGATAAGGCAGCCCTCTGGAAACACCCACAGAACACCCACCAGCAGTAAGGCTCCTTGGGAGGGCCACATCCAGCCAAGCAGCCCAATGCCCAGAGGCTTCTCCTGCAACCAACACTGGCCTGTGGCCTCATCTCAGTACCATGAGGTGGTGGGAGTGGTGAGCATTTAGGACAGAAGTCAAGAACCCTGACCACCAGGGCCCCATGGAAAGATAAATTACCTTTATCTTTACCTACTCATTGGGGTGCACACACCTACCAGCTTCTAAGTTAAATAAAGTTCCTTTGGGGCAGGTCTCTTTACAAGGCTTTCTGTTTTTTCCAGAAATCAAAGAGGCAGGGGAAGCAGGCGGCAAGAAAAGCATCTCGGTGGATGGAGCAGGGAACCATGACTCACTGCCCAGGGGAGCCAGAAGTGAAGACTCCCACCTGCCTCCGATCAGCAGGGACCCCAGCTCGGCACAGCTAGCTTCCGAGAGGTTCCTCCCCTGCAGAACAAGGGCACTGCAGACAGAGGGGCCGGCTGGGAGATGCTCCTGAGGGAGGGAGGGAGGGGTGACAAGGGGGCACGCAAGGAGGCCCTCCCTGCTCTGGGTACCGAAGGGTGTGGCCAGGCAAAACAAGCCATCACCACTCTGTCCCGAGTACATGAAGAGGCCCGACCCGTGATTCTCCCCCACCGGGCGCTTTCCTCCCCCTGAACGGGCAAGTACAGCTCAGCAGAATAGACACAGGGCACAGAGAAATGTGGACAAGCAGCCTCTGCTGGCCTCCCTATTGGAGAGTGGAGACACTCCCTACCCAGAGAGGCGTGGCCCCGTGGGCAAACTCACACAGCTGGTCAGCAGTGGGTGTTGGGGTCAAGCCTGTTGCTCAGCTGTCGGCAGCTTCTCAGTCACCACTAAATGTGCTCCCCAAGGGCAGGCAAGCAGGAGAGCCACACTTGAGAAAACCAGGGGAAACTGGAAAGGCCATGCCTCAGCAGTAGGGGTGGCTGAGAAAGTGTCACTGGTCGCTTTTGTTGCATAGCTGTTGTTAATGCCAAACACTTAGAATCAGTTTGTTTTGTGAGTTTGTGAAAAGGAACACATGTGTGCGTGTATGCATGTGCACGTGTGCACTGACCTCCCCCTTGTATGATAGAAAATCTCCATGATCTGTCCATTCCATTTTTCCAGGAACTTTGTAAAGCCCCATATATTGCCTTTCCCTTAACTCAAGCTACCCTGTGTGTACTCTCTGTTTAGGGACTTACCCTCCCTGCCACTTCCAGTCCTCCTAACCTGCAAGACCTGGTCTTGACGTCTCCCAACAGTGGTCTCAGCCGATGCTTGCTTTAGTCAGCAACTGACTGCACTGGACAGCATGTCCTACTTGGCCACCATGTGTGACATGTTTCACAAACCCGTCACCATTCACTGTGCATCTGTCCATCCATCCATCCTGTGGTTCATCCACATACCCATGCATGGACACTTTGGTTGTTTCCATAAAAGTTGGCACACTTTATACTTCTCATTTTCAGAAGCTGGGTGTTTCCAATAGAAGTTAAGTGTGTCCAGGTAGTACACTTATATAAGTTGCCAATTCC